TCCATCTACGGTACGGGGAGTGGTGGTCAGCAGGAGTCTATAGCGAATGGTAAGCTTCACTTTTTGTTCAACATTAGCACATATTGTACGAAGATATGAATTAGGTGACAGACGTGCATTGAACATTTTGAATTGGCCAACTAAGGCTCATGATGAAGATTTTAACGAAGCTGACTTTTGGATGATTTTAATGATGATGTACTGAAAGATATTGCGCAAGTGCGTTTTTCTGTTTCACATCTGTTTTTGTCCTACCTACTTGTTTTTGTTCTTGTTCTTGTTGTTGTTGTTGTTCTTCTTGTTGTTGTTGTTGTTCTTCTTCTTGTTGTTGTTGTTCCCCCCTTTCCTGGGCGTGATTGAAAATGCCGTGTTTTTCCAGTTCCCTTTCCCGGGTGTGATTGAAAATGCCGTGTTTTTCCAGTTCCCTTTCCCGGGTGTGATCGAAGATGTTGTGTTTTTCCAATTCCTTTTCTTCAGCGTGTACGAAGTGCGAAGGGAACTGGAAGGGAACTGGAAGGGAACTGGGAAAGAGAAAGGGAACTGGAAAAACACAGCACTTCGTACACGCTGAAGAAAAGGAATTGGAAAAACACAACATTTTCGATCACACCCGGGAAAGGGAACTGGAAAAACACGGCATTTTCAATCGCGCCCGGGAAGTGAACTGGAAAAACATGGCATTTTCAATCAGACCCGGGAAAGGGAAGTGGAAAAACACGGCATTTTCAATCACACCCGGGAAAGGGAACTGGAAAAACACGGCATTTTCAATCACACCCGGGAAAGGGAACTGGAAAAGCACAGCATTTTCAATCACGCCCAGGAAAGGGAACAACAACAACAACAACAACCAAAACCAACAACAAGAAGAAGAAGAATAAGAATAATAAAAACAATTACTTTACTTCGTGTGATCCCCACCATGACATTTATACATTTTCTTACTGGCAAATCTTCTGGCATTCTATCTGACATATCTTCTGACATTCTATTTGCATTCTATCTGGCATATCTTCTGGCATATCTTCTGGCATTCTATCTGGCAAATCTTCTGGCATTCTATCTGGCATATCTTCTGGCATTCTATCTGACATATCTTCTGGCATTCTATCTGGCATTCTATCTGGCATATCTTCTGGCATATATTCTGACATATCTTCTGGCATTCTATCTGGCATATCTTCTGGCATATTATCTGGCATTCTATCTGGCATATCTTCTGGCATATATTCTGACATCTCTTCTGGCATTCTATCTGGCATTCTATCTGGCATATCTTCTGGCATATTATCTGGCATTCTATCTTCTGGCATATCTTCTGGCATATCTTCTGGCATATCTTCTGGCATTCTTTCTGACATTCTTTCTAACTTTCTTCTGCACATTCTTTGTCCCATATCTTCCTACATGAGGTCCGGCAGGGAACACTTGGCGTGGATACTCGCGGTTGAGGTCCGGCAGGGAACACTGGGCGTGGATGGTCGTGGTTGAGGTCCGGCAGGGAACACTGGGCACGGTTGAGGTCCGGCAGGGCGCGGATGGTCGTGGTTGAGGTCCGGCAGGGAACATTGGGCGTGGATGGTCGTGGTTGAGGTCCGGCAGGGAACATTGGGCGTGGATGGTCGTGGTTGAGGTCCGGCAGGGAACACTGGGCGTGGATGGTCGTGGTTGAGGTCCGGCAGAGAACACTGTGGATCGCGGGTCGCAGTTGAGCAAGGACGACGAGGACGACGAGGAGGACGAGGAGGAGGAGGAGAGGAGGACGAGGCAGGACGAGGCGGAGGAGGAGGAGAAGGAGGAGGAGAAGGAGGAGGAGGAGGAGGACGAGGAGGAGGACGAGGAGGAGGACGAGGAGGCAACTGACATAAAATCTAACAACCCTCACCTGGCAGGTGGGGAACAACAACAACGACGACGACGACGACAACGACAAGAACAAGAACAAGAACAAGCAGGTGTGCCTTATCATCCACCTTTATGGTGTTGTCACTGGGCGTGCTTTTTCGGACAAGTGGTGACATGTGATGACACTTGTTAAAGCAATGTCTGAGTTTTTGGGATCGTATGCGAAAAAATGCAAAAAATGAGGAAAAAATAAACGCTTAAGGTACGGGGAGTGGTGGTCAGCAGGAGTCTATAGCGAATGGTAAGCTTCACTTTTTGTTCAACATTAGCACATATTGTACGAAGATATGAATTAGGTGACAGACGTGCATTGAACATTTTGAATTGGCCAACTAAGGCTCATGATGAAGATTTTAACGAAGCTGACTTTTGGATGATTTTAATGATGATGTACTGAAAGATATTGCGCAAGTGCGTTTTTCTGTTTCACATCTGTTTTTGTCCTACCTACTTGTTTTTGTTCTTGTTCTTGTTGTTGTTGTTGTTGTTCTTCTTCTTCTTGTTGTTGTTGTTCTTCTTCTTGTTGTTGTTGTTCCCCCCTTTCCTGGGCGTGATTGAAAATGCCGTGTTTTTCCAGTTCCCTTTCCTGGGTGTGATTGAAAATGCCGTGTTTTTCCAGTTCCCTTTCCCGGGTGTGATCGAAGATGTTGTGTTTTTCCAATTCCTTTTCTTCAGCGTGTACGAAGTGCTGTGTTTTTCCAGTTCCCTTTCTCTTTCCCAGTTCCCTTCCAGTTCCCTTCCAGTTCCCTTCCCAGTTCCCTTCGCGGATTCCCTATGTTTTTCCAAGGAAAGTGCGTTGCGGATTTTTTTTAATAAAAAACAAAAATGTTTTCTTTTTTGAAAGAAAAAGTCTGCAACGCACTTTCCTTGGAAAAACATAGGGAATCCGCGAAGGGAACTGGGAAGGGAACTGGGAAAGAGAAAGGGAACTGGGAAAGAGAAAGGGAACTGGAAAAACACAGCACTTCGTACACGCTGAAGAAAAGGAATTGGAAAAACACAACATTTTCGATCACACCCGGGAAAGGGAACTGGAAAAACACGGCATTTTCAATCGCGCCCGGGAAGTGAACTGGAAAAACATGGCATTTTCAATCACACCCGGGAAAGGGAAGTGGAAAAACACGGCATTTTCAATCACACCCGGGAAAGGGAACTGGAAAAACACGGCATTTTCAATCACACCCGGGAAAGGGAACTGGAAAAGCACAGCATTTTCAATCACGCCCAGGAAAGGGAACAACAACAACAACAACAACCAAAACCAACAACAAGAAGAAGAAGAATAAGAATAATAAAAACAACAACAACAACGACGACGACGACGACAACGACAAGAACAAGAACAAGAACAAGAACAAGCAGGTGTGCCTTATCATCCACCTTTATGGTGTTGTCACTGGGCGTGCTTTTTCAGACAAGTGGTGACATGTGATGACACTTGTTAAAGCAATGTCTGAGTTTTTGGGATCGTATGCGAAAAAATGCAAAAAATGAGGAAAAAATAAACGCTTAAGACAGTAGATGGACAAATTATTCAAACCCCTATCCATGAGTTATAGGCCACCCCCTACCTCCCCCGAATTTCAATGTTATGGTTTCGTAGCGCTGTTCCTGCTCTGGGGGTTTGATTTATTTCGTCCATTCGAAGGAACGAACCAAACAAGAAAATAACATTGATATTTGGGGTGAGGGGGGTTGCTCTATGTATAAGGGTTTGAATAATTCGTCCATCTACGGTAGGAATCACCAAAATAAGCCATCATGGCTCAATTAAACTACCCTGTTTGCCCGCTGAGATTATGTGAATTATGTGGTTTTTACTCTTCGGTTGCACAAGCAGCCTTTTTTAATACTTCACGGCATGGCCGATGTCATCCACCACTTCCATTTGGCGGTGGCCAATCACTAAGGCACGGATTTGAGCTGTAAGCCAAGCTCCTTTTGTATGCTGGATACACAGCCGCAGATGTGAACGCTATTTTTGTTCCCGAGAGCGTCTGAGCGCAGGGTTCTTCCAATAGTGGGGGTCTGTAAAACATCTTCTCATCTTCACATCCTCTCATCTTCACATCTTCTCATCTTCACATCTTCTCATCTTCACATCTTCTCATCTTCACATCCTCTCATCTTCACATCCTCTCATCTTCACATCCTCTCATCTTCGCATCTTCACATCTCTAATCTTCATCTTCTCATCTTCACATCTTCTCATCCTCCCATCTTCTCCTCATCTTCTCATCTTCACATCTTCTCACATCTTCTCACATCTTCTCACATCTTCTCACATCTTCTCACTCATCTTCTCATCTTCACATCTTCTCACATCTGCTCACATCTTCTCACATCTTCTCATCTTCTCACATCTTCTCACATCTTCTCACATCTTCTCACATCTTCTCACATCTTCTCACATCTTCTCACATCTTCTCATCTTTACATCTCATCTCACTCCTTCTCCTCTTGCCCTCTTGCCCTCTTGCCCTCTCCTTCTTTTCTATTTCTCTCTTGAAGGCGGGAGCAGGGGCAGTGCCAACGAGACGGCACGAAACGCAACCCTTTCGCACGAAATGAGGTTCGATCGCCCAAAACTGAGGTAAAATTGCGATTTCAAGTCGTCCGGCGCAACCCTTTCGCACGAAATGAGGTTCGATCGCCAAAAACTGAGGTAAAATTGCGATTTCGTGTTTCCGGTGAACCCTTTCGCACGAAATGAGGTTGGATCGCCAAGAACTGAAGTAAAATTGCGATGTGTGTAAAAGCGTCTGTGTGTAATAGCGTCTGTGTGTAAAAGTCTCTGTGTGTAAAAGTGTTTGTGTGTGTGTGTAAAAGCGTCTGTGTGTAAAAGCGTCTGTGTGCAAAAGCGTCTGTCTGTAAAAAAGTTCTGTGCGTGAAAAGCTTTTTGAAAGATACGATGGAAAAGATACGATGCCATATAATATTGTCTTGATACTACTCTTCTCGTCTGCCTGTAATACATCTTTAATATATTGTCTTGTAATATAGTGTCGCCATACTAACAGCAGAAGAAGACTCTGCTCCTCTACGCTCTCGGGCCATCCGTCGTCTAGTTTGAGTATTCTTATTTTTTGCCATCAAAATCCATCAAATACTTCAAATGATTTCAAAAATGGGTGTTTCCATAGTATATAAATGTATGTAAATGTTGGACAAAACTTCTGGCATGTTGGTGGTGGAGGCACCTCCCTGCATGATATAATTAATCTTTGTCCCGCAAGAAGTAGATACCCCCAAACTGCCGCCCCAAAGTCAAAGAATCGGTATGAAACATGCGCTAGGTGAGGCATTCCGTCTAGGAGTGTGGGATCATCGCCCAAATTGGGAGGAAACAACGAATTTAAGATGACCGTCAAGTGACCAACAGGAAGATGTGGAAGTTGACCAACTGGTCCAGCTGGTCCAACTGGTCCAACTGGTTGACTGAAATGAGCAACTGGAAGTTGACTAGCTGGAAGTGGAGCAACTTGTGGACCAGCCGGACGCTCTATCCTGGACATGTCATGCACCGCCCCAAGATGATGCCGTGGAAGTTGTACAACTGTGGGCCCCAAAGCATCAGGAGCAGAGCCGAACATCTCCCCTGCGGTCCTTGGATCCCTTGGGTGTGCTGGGTTGGCGGGAAGGAGGTGAGCTGTTTGAAGGGAAACCATTTGGTGCCCTTCGGATTGCCGCGGGAGCTGTGGCTCTGCCCGGCTGAAGGCGGGCGAGCTAATGGGTGGACGTTCCAGCCGCTGAAGTTCTTGGAACCGTTCCTGGTTGGATTCTTGGAGAGAATGGATGGTGCGATCTGCGACTTCCTGCAGGGTTCCCAGGTTTCCTCGATATTTTTGCTGGACCGGGTCAAGCATCTAATGAAATCTAATGAATATGAATGTCACCACATTCAACCAGCAAAAGGTGTTTGAAAGCCCCGAAATCGGAAATTGTTTGAACTTCATATTTTAATTTGTAGAGCACCCTGTCCTTTTCCATCTTGATCTTCTCCAGTTGCTCCCTGCACTGCTGCTCTTCAGACTTCCAGCGCTCCAGCTCTATGCGCAAACGACCATTCGTCTCCAACAGCTTAGCTTGTTCTGCTTCCTTTTCCGCAGCTCTGCGGATGGTCTCCTCACTGTTCTGAAGACGGCGGCGTAACTCCTCCTGCTCCAACTGTGCCTTCTGTTTCCACTCATCGAATTCACCGGTGTGCTGGGAATCCATATTCTTGGCTTCCTTGAGCTCTGCTCTCCATTGCTGCACTTCCTCCTTCAAAACAAAAATCTCACCGCCTTGCTCCTCATGCCGCACCCACAGTTCATGGTAGGACCGTCGTTCCTCATCCAATTCTGCCTTGATCTTTTCCAAAGCCATCTCTGCCGCTTCTCTGCGACAGGCCTCTTCTTGGGCTTTGGCTGTTGGCTGAGCAAGGAGTTCGTGGTAGGACCGTCGTTCCTCATCCAATTCTGCCTTGATCTTTTCCAAAGCCATCTCTGCCACTTCTCTGCGACAAGCCTCTTCTTGGGCTTTGGCTGTTGGCTGAGCAAGGAGTTCGTGGTAGGACCGTCGTTCCTCATCCAATTCTGCCTTGATCTTTTCCAAAGCCATCTCTGCCGCTTCTCTGCGACAGGCCTCTTCTTGGGCTTTGGCTGTTGGCTGAGCAAGGAGTTCGTGGTAGGACCGTCGTTCCTCATCCAATTCTGCCTTGATCTTTTCCAAAGCCATCTCTGCCGCTTCTCTGCGACAGGCCTCTTCTTGGGCTTTGGCTGTTGGCTGAGCAAGGAGTTCGTGGTAGGACCGTCGTTCCTCATCCAATTCTGCCTTGATCTTTTCCAAAGCCATCTCTGCCGCTTCTCTGCGACAGGCCTCTTCTTGGGCTTTGGCTGTGGCAGTTGCAGCTGCTGGGCTGAATTGTGGGGAAACTGTCTGCTGTTCAGCCTTGTGAAATGTATGCGATGCATAAGCTTCAGCCCGCATCTCCCCAGGCGGGCTGGAAACCACCAAGGAATCCCTGCTGTTCAACCCTGGAGACTCAGCTGGCAAGGTTACTGGCTCAGAAAATACTGAAGAGATCGATGTCCAAAGCTCCTTTGGCTCCGAAGCATCCCCTACCTCTGCACAGGCCCTGGCTTGGAAAGCATAGGCCTTGCCGCGGGTCCAGGAGTCGATCAAACATCGCTGCTCCACCTGGCTGCTGGCCTCACACTGAAAGGTGCGAACCCGTAGGCGGCCCCCGACTCCATCTGAGAGTTGTTGAACCTGCAGGGCGTCACATCGGCCCCCCCAAATTTTCCGTATTGCAGGCCCCTTGAAATGCCATGGATCAAACCCTTTAGCCAACTGCTTTCCGGTACTACACAGCTAAAATCATTGTAGTGACTTTTGGAAACCCTGACCTCGAATCGCACAGATCTCAAGGGCCATGTGGGCTGCCCTGGCTGCCAAGGCTGCCAGAACCAAGTCAGCTCAATTGCTGCGTCGTGCAGCTTCAACTGTAGCCTCTCAGGCGCCCTCAAAGTGGGGACATTGGGCTGAAATCTGTCCTGGGTGGCATCTACGATTGGATAATTTCTATATCATGATTTTCGCATAAAAGCCGTAATTATCCGTAATTATCTATTGTTATGTTCGACTCATTGGTTGCTCCAACCCCCTTGAAATGATCATGCAAACCCCAGAGAAAAGCAAAGTGAATAAACCCACCAACCAGTTTCAGGACGTGCCATGGCTGCAGTTCTGGCTTCCTGCTGCACCTCAAAGATACGTCTCTGCAACAGTTCTCGTTGGGTTTGAAGGGCACTTCTCTCCTCCTCCAAATTTGATAGCAACGTAAGCTGCATCTGACCCCGGCTTTCCAAGCGCGCGCAGGTCTGAAGGAGTTGTTCATCGGTCATGACGGTCATGTCGGTGCCATCCATGACACAAAATCGTCTCAACCGATCTTTGGGTTGGACAAATTCGGAAGGCTGCGATGTTGTGGAAAATTGTCATGGTTCCCGGATGTTCCCGGTGAGTGATGGGACAGACGCACAACTAAACAATTGTAACAAGGTCGAATTCGCCGTTAAAATGTATCTCTGCATGTCTGTCGTTCTGCATGCGTGTCATCCGCCGCATTTATCTGCTTTCAGTCACCTCTGGGCACCTATGGCAGCTGGGTATGTCCCAGCCCAAGCGACACGCCTTGAGCCATTGGGCACCAAGAAGCCTTCTTATTAGTTCCCCTCAGACCATGCATTTGAACACTGAACTTCACTGAACATGATGCTAAGAACACACACACACACAAATATATATATATATATACATATACATCACATATAAGATACAAATATCAGCGCACAGCATGCACAACAGAGGTGCATGATTACCCCAAAATACCCCAAGGCTTAAGGCCTTGAAAAACAAAAATGAGCACTTCACTTGGTTCTCTAGAAGGTACTTTTTTCCCCGGCCACTCTTGAGTTCAAACATCTTTCTCACGATATTTATGTCTGACCCATCCTGCATCTATATTGTTATCTCCCTCACTTTCTCCATGCACACACACACACATATAAATATATATAGAAACTATAATATATGATATCCACACATATAATTCCGATGAATTTGATGCGCACGTATATATACATATAAATATATATAATTATAGATATATAACAAAACACAGCCGTTCTACCGCAGGTCGTGTCCGTTTGATCACTTGGCAGTTGCTCACCCTGATGGATAAGCGGGTGCTCGGCCATACGGCTCCGCCTGGGCATGTTTGAAGCGTCAACAATCGGGATTTCTTGGGGATATACCCTCTGGTAAACAAACATAACTATGCAAAATCACCATTTTTGATGGGTAAAACAACTATAAATGATAATTTTCAATAGCTATGTTAGTTTACCAGAGGGTAATGGAACATACAATTCGGATACAATGGGGATATAATGGGATCAAAACGGTGTTTTAAAATGGTTTAACTAACTGATTAAACATCAGCAATAGAGATTTAATGGGATATAATGGGACATATACAGTAACCAACCACAATGATTTGCATATGTGTAAAGACGGGGGCTAAACGCCCCAAATTGCCATTTGAATAGGGAACATGATGATTATTAACCACTGAGCATCTTTTTGCGCTACCCTATTTTCGGACAAACTCACCGTCCTTTACAGAAACGTCATGCAACGGGAGTCTCCCACCCAACATCTCTTAACTTGAAAACCATCAAAGATTATACAAACTATCACTTTTCAGATGCCGTGTAATGTGGCAAACCCAATAATAAAACACCCCCGAATCACCATTTGTATGGGTGGATTTCAACCATCCCCAGTCATGGTAGTTGTGGCATTGGATTGCCCACATTGTTCCAATGATCCAGCAATCATCCACTATTGTGGGTGATACACTCTGGTAATTTAACATAGCTATTGCACATGGCCATAGAAATAGTTGATTTACCCATCAAAAAAATGGATAAAATGGTGGATCTTTCCACAGTTATGGGACAGTTTGCCAGGTACATGTGATACCCTCATGTGTAACCTCTGATTGACCGTTGATGACATGAATTTGTGACACCAATGGCTTCCCCCGTTCCCCAACAGGGGCTCCCCCACCATCCCGGCTCACCCCGCCGCCGTCCCCCTGCTGTCGGTCACGTGACCATGGTGAGCTGAAATGGCCGCGAGTGGAAGAAGTCAATGGCGTTGATTTCAAAAAGATGGAAAAAGACTAGAGATTCAATGGATTGGTTTAAGGGAAAATTTACAGGAAAGTCCAAGATTAATAATTTAATGAGAAAATCTATGGCTTCCTGTGGATTTTCCCTTAAACCAATCCATTTACAGATGGAAAAAGATGGAAAAAGACTATAAATTAAATCAACTATTATTTGACTCATATAGATGGAGTAAAACAGACTACATAGAGGTAAAAAGATTGAACTTCCTCTGCGGTAAACTAACATAGCTCCGGACAATTGCCATTTATAGATGATTTAGCCAATACATCAACATTGTGATTTTCCATAGCTATCTAAATCATCAAAAATGGTGGTATAATTACTCAAGTATGCTGGGGATCTAATTTATCATTGTTTGAGATATTATATATATATGGAATATGGGTGTGATACCCTCTGAGAATCAAACATGGCTAGCTGGTCAATCCCCATTCAGTTGGATTTTCCCATACTTTCCCAGCCGGCCATTTCAGTTGATTCCAGTGTGGAAAGTACTCGGCTATAGCGGCTATCCCTCAGTTGGAAGCCATGACTTGGACACTGGGCTGATCGTCACTGAAGGAGCTTCTTGATGGTTTTTCCTATGCTGGAAGTACACTGTGTGACACTCGTGGCAGGTCTTGTTGCCGCCATTCTGGATCCCATCAAGCAGCGACGACCATCGATCATTCATACTGTTTCATGCCGCCGACATGGCGCTCGGGTTGGGAAGTTGGTTACTTTAGCAGCCTCAGAAGCACCCACATCATCCCACATCCATATCATTCTTGTCGACACCCTCATCTTTACTGGTTTTAATCAACCATGTCTGCCAGCAGTGTCCTCTTTACATCATTTTGCATCATTTTACATCATGATTCGCGGGAAATTCACAGGTCGCCGGGCGCCGTGTATGTTCCTTGTCGCATCTTGGCCTCTCCACGGCGCCGTCCCCTTGGTACCGCTTGTGGGTGCGTTCGCACCGGGCGGGACTTCATCCGCGCGCCACGTCAAGAGCACTGGAAGGACAGGCAGTGCCGGAGCTAGTCGGAGACCTCAGTGGTGAAAGGGTGGAGGGCAACAACTGACCCGGGCCCCATCCAACCAATGACTAATTATTGATATTATAATATTATATTATTATATGATATGATTGGGGGATATTGGGGGTATGATGGGCATTTAGTTCGATGATTTTTCCGAGCTATAAACCTCAAGTTGTAGATTCAGCCAGCCACGTTTGATTACCGATGAGTATTTGGTACTGAACATCAAAATTGTCAGAGCAACAAATGTGGTGATTCTAGACACCGTCGGAATAAATCACTTCGTTTGTGAAGTGATCAGAAATTTCGCTGGCTATAAAAGCTATATAAGTCGCCAAAGAACCATGTTTCCCTTGTGAGAAAAAAGTGCGTCAACAGGAATCAACATCGCTGACCTCCGTACACTGCGTGGCTTCCGAATCGCTGTCAGAAACGGCGCGAAAGAGATAGCCGTTCGGGCGTAGGTAGCAACTGAAGAGCAACAAGCAGAAGAGATTGCCTGGGATTTACCCGTCCAACATGCCGATTGAACATGGCCCACAGAAATAGTTGATTTATGTTGATTTACCCAGCTATAAAATGGTGGATCTTTCCATAGCTTTATGACGTGTTATGTTATATGACCAGAGGGTACGCTTGAAGGGTCCACAAAAGGAAAAACAAATAACATATTCCATCATATTCCCAGATGTTCCCTGCATATAGCAACCCCGAAAAATAGAGAAGACTATTATGCCCCAAAAATAGTCATGATATATTGTCATTATTATCATTATTTATTACGATTACTATTACTATTATCATTGTTGTCATTATCATTATTATTTATTATTTGCCTTTCTATCTTGTCTGGGGATTACTCTAATCAGCATTCCCAAATGGGATTTACTTACTCTCTGGTAACCCAACAGCTTGCCAGGGAAAATGGCATTGGATATACAGACAGTTATATATATATATATTATGGAAATAATCATCTACAAGTGGCTAATTGTCCATGGCTACGTTATGCTACGTTATTTTTTCAGCATAAGATTCTCCAAATGGTGGGTTACTGTAACTACGATGGAAGAATGACATCACCGTCGGCAAATCCAAGTTTCAGGGAAAAACATAGCCCAAACTCAAGGGTGCCAAATCCAGATGCACCAGGAGATAGTTCAGTGGAATCACGGGCAAAGCTAAAAGAGACAACAGAAATACCGCGTAAACGTCACCTGACGGATGCACTGCGGCGTTCAGAAAAATGGACGACTGCCCCAGAAAAGATCACCCAAAAATAGGGGAAGCCATGGGAACCCCAAAAGGCCTACTGGGCTGCCATGGCTTGTATCATCCAACTTCTCGGGAGAATCACCCATGGCGGGGCCCAAGATGGCCACGGATCAGACTGGTCTGGCCGGGCATTGCTTGAGCAAAGACCTGTGATTCTGACAAATGGGGAGTTGAACACTAAAGGCTCTCACACTTTCTGAGAGAGACCATCATGGGGCCACAAAATGGTCATGTCCCTAATGGGGTCGTATATCATCTTGCAAAGCTATCGGGATAATGATCATTCTACGTGGTTTTCAGATTGACCTAAGCCCGCCTGCATGCCGCAACAGCTCACCCATCAAACCACATTCTGAATCCTTGGGACATATATGACATGGCAGCCACAGCAAGCTCCAGCTGCAGTCACACCTGTTTTTTGCTATGTCGATTATGTCATGGGAACGACGCGGTGCAGAAAGGCACTCAACAGGTAGTAGATGGGCACATAGGCCAACCTTAGCTGCGTCCACCATGGTCCACCTGGCTGTGGCCTACCCTGCTCACCTCATTACAAACTTGCTCATCGACTCATCAACTAGAGATAGAGGTCGTCCTCAAAGTTCCAGGTGTTGGGGTGGAAAACCCCACCTGTTGCTCTGCTTGCCTCTTTTCGAAGCTGGATCTCAACTTCTGCCTAAAATTGACCACTCTAAGCCATCCACCCCAAACAGATCCATTTCCTTGTATCTTCACACCCCCTAAAGCACCTCACATGCTTGAGACATGTTTAGATAGATTACCTCAAAGGGAGATCTACCCTAAACCCGTCCAGATCAGCACCACCGAACCAAGCCACCATCGAAACTTCCACATGTATCTTTCCCACATGGACGGCTGGCGGGTGCCAAAGGCCTCAAAGCAGAGTGGATCGAGAGATCTCGAGACTGTGCGATAGAGGGGGACATTCAACCTACAGACATGGTGATATTGACCAACATTGACCAACCAAAGTGGTTATAAATGGGGATGGGTCAAAACCCTATCCCCCTGGTGAACATCAAAATAGCTGGTAAATGGATGTTCATCCCCCTAAAAATGGTATGTATAGGTATTGATCCATAGCCAAATGGTTATAATATTAACCAACACCAACAACCATGGACCATGGGGACAGCAACCAAAAAGTCTGAGGATTCAACCAATAAAAATGGGTGGTTGGGCATCCTGGAGGTGCTTTTTTTTGTGATGGTTCCTAGTTCTTGGAAGCGATCTTGGGATGGCACCAAAACAAAACCCCAGCTAACCAGAGGTTAAAATGGTTAAAACATGATTTGATCTGAAAAATTTCATCTCTTCATAGTACTTGGTTATAACATGGACCTTGTTTTTCATAGTACCCTCTGGTAATTTAACATAGCTATTGAACATGGCCATTTATAGTGGATTTTCCCATTAAAAATGGTGATGTTCCATAGTTTTTTGTATGTTTACCAGAGGGTACTTGGTTGTACTCAGAAACAGCCGCCATCACCCGTGCCATGATGAAAATTCAGGACACCTCCTCGAGGTGTTCCGCTCCAATGCACTGGGCCCAAATTCGACCTGCCGAAAGGCAAGGGGAAACCATGGGCACTGCCATCACGCAAATAGAAATAACACGCAGAAGGGTTAGGTGTATATAGTATATATATATATAATATATATAATGTTTATAATATAATATATATTATAATATGTTATTTCCATGTTATGTCGATTTTTGGCATTTCTGAAGCATGCTTTGTAATATACTCTTCATTTTGGTTCTGTATGGATGTCTTGTGGCGGTATGTCTTGGTGTGTGGCCAAGCGGCACTTGCAAGTGGGTTTTGGAAGCCCAGCTACTTGCAAGTCTGGTTCACTGGTCATATTTCACCCGCGGACATGTTCATCATTTTACTTGAAACCCTGGTTGTTTTTACATGTTCATCATTTTACTTGAAACCCTGGTTGTTTTTACATGTTCATCATTTTACTTGAAACCCTGGTTGTTTTTACATGTTCATCATTTTATTTGAAACTTGAAACCATGGTTTTTCACAGGTGTTTGCTTATGTTCACAATTGTTCACATGTTGTTACATGCGCATCCAAATTTTCGGGGGATTTCCGGGTGAGGTTTCGTGGCCATAGACGAAGAACAACACCGAGGTCACGAGAATGGAGGCAGAATAATTCACCTGCGAAAAGCCATAGAAAAACCCATGGTTTGGCAAATTGAGAATTGCTGACATATCTGACATGGAGAGTTCCGGCGATTCGGACTGGGACTTTGCAATTCTTCGGGACCATGGCTGGGGCTTTTTCCGACTGGGTCCCAATTTAGGGCTACAGTTTTTGGAACCCCAAAAACGGAACTTTCATTCCCACATCTACTTCGGAGGCTGACACGAAAATGGTTGGAGATATCAACCACCTGATGTTTGGTGCGGCAGTCGTCCATGTCCAACATCCCACCCCCCGCCTGAGGGAACGTCCTGCAGAGAAGGAAGGACATATAGGCCACGGCGCTGGGTCATCCATAAACCATCGCTGGGATCATTGAGCTATATTATTACCATCTGGTAATTTAACATATAGCTATTGAAAATGGCCATTTATAGTGGATTCCCATTGAAAATGGTGATTTTCCATAGCTATGTTAGTTTACGAGAGGGTATATTATACAACAAATACAGTTGGCGAAAATACCTTTCCCCAGTTCCTACTTTGTAGTTTTGGGATGTTTTGGCCAAAAAACATCAAACAAACTGTAATTGCGGTACCAGTGTTTAAAAAAAAAAACGACCACCCCCAATTCAATCATCCCAAAAGACTTTCCACGCATGTTGACTGTTACAAGATGTGGCCTAGCACATCTTGGCGCGCTCTCCTGAACTGCATGGACAAATAGAACTGCAAGAAACGTTGCGGCAGAATTGCCATACTCCTCGGACTCGAAGGTGCAGTAGGGTTGATGGTGGGGTGAACCCTCGACCCCACATGGCTTGTGAATAGTGGATGGAATGGGGTAGCTGTTGTCAAACAAACCCATATTAATGTGCGAGCATGTCAAGGCTCTCTAGATTGTAGACTAAGACTACGGCTAGACTACGGCCCAAAATGTACAAACAAACCCATGCAAATGATCAAAGATACCCGACCTCCAAAATTGATGAGCCCCCTGGCAATAAATCTCAAGGCTTTCCCCTATGGACTTCCATGGACTTCCCAAATCTCCAAGAAAAAGTCAGCAAATGGCTATGCAGATTCTCAGCCCCCCTACCAAACAAACATTTTTTACATCCTCTCGACTAAGGTTGCTATCTTAAGATCCTCCCGCACCACTGCAGCAAGGCTCATCATGACTCCACATTGCATCAGCCGCCCGTGCAGGGCCAGCGACTCTGACCTTTTTTGGGTCAATCTCTACAGATGTCCAGCTGGATTGCAATCCATGTCCAGCATGACACCGAACCAAGATTGGTAATCGGTAATGAACATTTCATGAACCAACCAAAAATGTGAATTCTGCTTAAGCTTAATCCAAGCCGAACCAGTGATCTAACATGAGTTAAACCAGGATTTTGACAACAAGACTCGTGACAAAGCCAACGGGAGAAACAGAAGTGGGCTCCCGCACGTTGCTCGCAGTCTAGCCACGCGCCAGCCACGATACCTGTCACTTTGTTCCCGGTTGCATCACCATGGGCCGGTGGTTGCTGTGAAGCCATCGTTGCTGATTAAATCAATTGAATTCATGTGATATATCATGTGCTTTTTGGTTGTTTTAATCATTCAATCCTCAGTTTTTTTGATTATATAATGTGGTTACCCTCTGGTGAACTAACATAGCAATGGAAAATCACCATTTTTAATGGGAAAATCCACTATAAATGGCCATTTTCCATTGCTATGTTAGTTCACCAGAGGGTAAATCCCCGTTTTGGGGTTCTATGTCCGTTTTTCAAAGGACCACGGCATCACTGATGTCGTGCATCCTTTGACAATGCGGCGCACAAGAAAAAGGCGGTGCAGCCAGCAGTGTCCAGCAGAACTGCTGCCACCTCCCACCGCCATCAACGATGGCGAACACCCATCCCGCAAAAGCTTCTGAACCACCAACAACCACTATACCCTCTGGTAATTTAACATAGCTATTGAACATGGCCATTTATAGTGGATTTTCCCATTAAAAATGGTGATTTTCCATTGCTATGTTAGTTTACCAGAGGGTAAGACCAATAAGGGTTTCTTAACTTTAAATAACTTTAACTGGTTCAACCCTTGGGATCCAGGAATCCCGATATGTCAATGGTCTGGGGATCATCATGGATCATCGCCACTGGGCCAAGGAACTGCTGGAGCCCAGTATTCAATTCTCCTCGGCTCGGATTCCCGGATCACCCTGGAACCATCTGGAACCATCTGGAACCATCTGGAACCGACCTTTTTTGCCCCAAAAAAAATGGTAACATGGCTGCTGACATCTGCTGACCCATGGCCTGCTAAGAGGCCACTGGTACCAAGCGGCTGCAAGGCGGACAAGTAGAGGCTGCTTGGGAAGACGATCAAGAAGAAAAGCAGCAGCATGACCTCCCAGCTGCGAAGCTTGTTCAACTACCATCTGGTTATTTAGCATAGCCATGGAAAATCACCATTTTTAATAGGTAAACCATCTATAAATGGGCCATTTTCCATGGCTATGTTAAATAACCAGAGGGTAAAGACGTCAGATCGCCACCAACATCTCCAATTTTCAAAACTTGGGTGCTGAAAAGATTCAAAACATTTCAAAACCATTCTCGGCTGCAGTTTCGGCAGCTGTTTGGTGTTTCACTATTTTTGTTTGCTGCAATTTCAAACATCTTCAGCCAATTCCTAGCTTCAAACATAGGCTAACCCCCTTCCATCCAATGCTTCATCCTGAATTTTCCATAGTTTTCCATAGTTTGTTCCATATGTTTCCATAGTTTTTCCTATTCAAATGGCCATAGATAGGTTCACCAACCCCCAAAAAACCCAGCATCAAACCAGCCAAGGCGCGACCCCTGTGAGCCGATGCAGTGCCGGCGACTGGCGTTTGCGGGTCTCGATCCGGATCTGGACCTCGTGGCCGCGAACTGTTGGGTTTCTGGACGATATAACTGATATAACATCACTATACCTAATATGTATATATATAATCATATATAATTAATGGGGATGAATGGGGGGTTATAAAATCTTATAGACCAACTTAAAACTGGGGGGCTCCACCTGGTGGGATGAAAAATATCATCATATGAATCATATGTCATCCACAATCATGGGAATATCATGGGAATACTTGACCATTGAAAAAAGTGATTGGCCATCTATCATGGGAGTTATCCCATCTGGAATTAACATGAATTAACCACTAAATGGGAGTTATCCAATCTTTGGGCTTTACCTCCAACATGACGACCCGCGCATGGCTGGAAGACTACCTTTCTCCAATTTGTGTTCTCAGGATCAAACCGTTAGTTTGAGCCCTCCTGATTTAATGGGCCATTAAGTATGTAATAATCATCATTCCATTAACCCTCTGGTAATTTAACTGCTGTGGGAAATTGCCAATTTTGACAGGTAAATCATCTAAATGGCAATTGAATGCGAACCCGGCATGACAAACCAACAAACCCCCGCTAAAATGATTCAGGGAAACAGGTGTGCCCGCACATATAAAATTGTTGGCAAAATCATTAAATGCAGTATGACGAAATATCATATCACTCTACACATCTATATACAATATGTCAATATGTTGGGGAGAACCCACATTAAGGCCCCACAACCAATGATTTCCCCAGCACATTTGTAGAACAACCAATGAAACATCATATTGTTCCAAGTCCGAGTGACAGCGGCCAAGATCCACATTGCAATGCTCGCGAAAACGTGTACCTGTCATTCCATCAGGGGTAGTAGTTCTCCGTCACATGCAGGGGGCTGATTCTCCAGAAACATGACTGCCATCTCCAATGAATAAATAATATAATGTGAGTAAAGCAATAGGATCCACCATCCCCAATTTTACCATCTTCATTGGTGGTATAAACGATCAAAATATGGGTGGCTTATAAAATGCTTTGTTAACCTTACACTAGGTCACTGCGCTCGAATAGACACCGCTTTCCTGAACCGAGAACGATGACTGTCATCAGCGGGAAAGAAGCATGGAGGAGAATCATATACCGTTTGGTAATTTAACAAATGGCCCATCTTTTAGCTTTCAAAAATTGTCATGTTCCATACCTATTTCAGCTATCACATGCTATTACCAGAGAGTAATTCTGCCTTCCTTCCTCTGCCAGCCTCTTCAGAATGATTTATTTTTTGCCTAACAGCTGCCCAAAAAAAAAGTAGTACAGTACCTCCACCACTTGCTCATAGCTGATGCCCACATCAAAGGCGTTGCCCTCAGAATGGTGGTATAAACCACCCTGGGATCCAAAGAATGTCCCAAAGATTAGTGTGTTTATATGTTTTTATCATTTGTTATCCCCTACATCCACCATGGTTGCTGTTTAATGTGAACGGGGGAAGGGATTACCCCAAAAACTTGTGAAATCCACAAGGTCCAGGCTAAATGAAGCCTTGAATAGACCTGAAATTATCATGTGAAACTTCCAGCGACGTACTCCCAGCGGTGCAGGATGGAGAAGATGCGGCTACCTCTCAATGGCTGCTGGGTATGAATCAATATATATATATATATTTGCGGGTTGTACACTCTATCTTTTCCGAGTTTTGTATAGTTTTGTCGGTTTGTTTTGGTGAGTCATCCCCATCGTGAGATTTTTCTGTCTTTCCAACGTTGAGCCGTGCCCACTTGGCTCCCAAATGCAAACGGGTGGCTGTCAATGCGACCTAGGTCATTGGAAAGTCATGGGGAAGCTCGTGATCTACACACAGAAATTGATATCCGCCCAAACGTTGATGAAATTTGTTGTAGATGGGGTCAACGGCTGAATCTTTCAAAATCCCAAGTTTGGATAATTATTTCGTATCCCCGTGATTTTTGTTGGTATGGCCCAACTATGCCCAACTCACATGTTTTCCAACTTTGACACGTGCTACTCTTTTTTGACGAGGGGCAAAGAAGCTCTTGTGCATGCAGAGGTAGCTCACGACCTGGCTTCGCGGCTTCAGAATGCTTCAAGTGCCCAGGGTCACCCTGCAAGTGTCCTTACAAAACCGATTAAAAGACCATGCCCCTTGTGTCTTTCCGAAAGGCTGGGAACTCATCAAGGTTTCCTGCACCAAAAAGAAAGATCATCCAATGGAAGCTGGAATCGTCAAGTGGAATTTTCATGATTGTGGCTTCCTGATTCAAAGAAACACCCCCAAGAGCTGTTGAGCCAACTCAACCAACCACGGCACATTACTGCCTCCGCCACAACGAAAACAGTGGCAGGTGCCCAGAAGAGGGTCAGGAGAAGTTCCAGCTCTTTTCGATTCCTCTGGAAATCCAGATGATTTGTACAGAAGTGTAGCATTTGCCAGGCTGCAACAAAAATTGAATTTGATTCAAGCATTAATAAAGTATCAATAATTGGATTTAACATGATTTAACATGACTTAACCAGTGAACAAATGAATATTGAGGGATCAAACGGGTTTTATCAACCATCAATCCGGGATGCCCCAACAATATAACCATATATAGATCGGTAAATAGTTGGAAATTGATGGGATATCTAGTCTTTATTGGCTTGGTGTGTCCAGACATGGGATGTAGCCCAATGATGGAATCTGGCCATTCCAGCTGAAAAATGATGAGATTCACCCGTTGGAGTTGGCGCTAGACGGTTTCAGACAAACAAAATGACAAAGCCAAATCATAAAATGATTGCCTCGCATGCACATAATATGTACATATATATATATGTGTGTGTGTACATATGTATTATATATATATGATTATATATGCGTGTATGTGTGTGTGTGGCCCAATGTGGCCCATATATTGACACAAACATGACGACTGCTCTTTGAAGCCTTCTGAAGCGCTAAAATCAATGCGATTTCCCATGCCAATCTGCATGATTTCAGTTGTGAAGTATCCCGCCTCACCATCAAGCCAATCTTGGTGGCTAGGAAGTAGCAACTGGAGGTAGGAATCGTACACCCCTATATCGATATGCAATGCTGTGCAAAATCAAATGTTGATCAATTTGGTCAAATCATGTCAAATCAAATGCGTTGGGCATGCAATAAACCACAGAAATTCATGAACCATCACCCCAAATTTCAACAGAAAGTCTAAGTTCATGAAACATCAATCCAAATCAATGAGCCTCCAAGTATCTTATGGCAATAATCAAGTTTCATGAGCCATTAACCATCATTAACCCAATTCCTGGCAATTGCCATAAGAATCGTAAGATACTTGGAGGCTCAGCCCCGCCGATCCCCGGAGGTCCGAATGGATCGGGACCTGAGACATTGCCGGTCCGTGGCTCCGTGGGTCGTGGGGATCTAACCAGCAGGGATCTGAAAAAGGCGATGGAAATTCACCGAAACGTCTCCGATGTTGTCTTGATATGGCAGTGTGTCAAAACCTTGGTACCTAGTGAACCCCAAAATAGCTGGCAAATGGATGTTCATCCCACTAAAAATGGTATTAATAGGTATTGATTCATAGCCATATGTCTAATCCCATGGAATCCCATGGCCCATCTTGATATATCTTGATGACTTGGATTGATGACTTGGATGAATTGTGGCCATTTTGTGATCATTCAGCCTGACACAATCGCTGGGCAAGGCACCCATCGCTGGGTCGACCATGGAAGGTGCCTCCATCGGGCTCCAGCTCCACATCCAAGCGCTCCAGCTCCGCCATGGCCACGCCATAGACGGTCCCACGTGGGTCCCACGTGGCAAGGGTGGGGGAAAGGAGGCTGGAAACCTGGAACGCTTGGTGCATGGGAAAGGAGAACATGAAAAATATGTACCCTCTGGTATCTGAACTAACTATGAGTAGATATGAGTAGCTAAGGAATGTCGTTTCTTTCAGCATGTTGAAGAGGTACAGTAAATCATCGAGGTAAATGGGCCATGTTCATTCATTTTCCATGTTATCGGTGAATGAGTTGGTTGGATGGTTTTTTTAAACTTAAAACCCCCAGCCAACTGGGACATATGTGACATACCACCTTCGGCATCGCCTCTGATGGGACTACCTAATTGGTGGCTCAACTGTGCTCCACTGCGTTCCTAAATTTCACAGCACCAATTGAAGGTGGAAGAGTGCCCCAACTGAAAAAGACTCAAACCATAGGAACAGAGGAAAGATGTCATATCAGTTTCAACTATGGTTACTGTACTGTTCCATAAGGCTTGCGCAAGTGTCAACCGTCTTCTGACTGGGAAAGATCAAGATTGCGTGGTGGATCGTGGTGGTAATGGTAATGCTGATGCCAAGAATGACTTCCATTTGTCTCATATACCCTCTGGTAATTTAACATAGCTATTGAAAATGGCCATTTATAGTGGATTTTCCCATGAAAAATGGTGATTTTCCATAGTTATGTAAACGTTTACCAGAGGGTATGTCATAGAGCTTCTCCACTTGGTGTCACAACATGTCACATCAATGTCCAATGGTCCAATGGTCCACCGGTCGCCACCTGGGATCGTAGACACTTGATTGTTCCTGGTAACATGACATCAAACCATATCAAACCACTATGGATGACACCAATCAGCCAACGTTTGGGCATATATAGATATATTTATAATTGTAGTAGCATCCCATATATTTCCTATGTAAAATGAGACGTGCCATGCCCGAACCAGCCGGAGTTTCTCGTAAGCCTGTTTGAAACGACCAACATCCAGCAACTCAACCTTTTTCGATTCTAGGGCGCACGTGGCCCGAATTCCGCCCCAAGATCTCATACACAATGAGGTCCAAGGGCTCGCTGGGCCGAGGCAGCTGTGTGCGACATCAATGGTAAGGGCCCTATAAAATTCTATAAACAAGTTGGGGGTTTCCTAAAATGGGGATACCGGGATACCCCACAACCATGGGTTTCAATACTTGAAACAGTAGAATTTTGGATGATTTGGGATGACTTGGGGGTACCCCCATGACTTCGGAACCTAGAGTTGGGGAGATGAACATCCAAAAAGTTTGGGAAAATGAAACGTTCCAGGCCCTACCATGACTCGACATGTGGTGACGTTCTCGCAACATCTTCAGGAATGCGAGACCACATAGCATAAACATGCCATAAATCAATATAAATCATCCAAAGCGATGCGGCAACAACGAATTTCAACCTATCAAAATAACCTGGTACAGTAGAATGATGCAGCACCCAGCTATCCAGGTGATCCTAAAAAAACAACCACTACTGCGCTGCACACAGCTGCGAGCTCACGTTTGTGAGAGCAGCTGTGGCTGTGCTGGGAACACCTGCGCCGTGGGAACCGACCCGTCGAATCCCCTCAAGATGATTCGCCCTCCAAAAATGCAATTGATCCAAATAAGACCTCTCCAAAATTCCAAACCTCACAAAATGCTTCGAAAACCAACATCCGCATCTCAAGGTCCTGAAATTTCTGCCCTGAAAATCTCCGGCACCATCCGACCAGAAGTGCCTGGTGCCGTATGGCCGTCATCTCAATGACAACGACCTGGCTGGGAGCTGCTTGCTGCGAAAGTCTCTCAGCAAACCAACCACCACAACTTTCATTGCAGGGCCTCCATTTTGCAGCAAGTCGTATGTAGGCCGACCATGGCCGACCCCCCACCACTTTAACTTGCTGAATAATGCTCACCCTTCTTTTCCTTTCTTTGTTTTCTTCTTGGAAGTTGATGGATGAGCATCTCTATGCTTATATTGTTCAGCAATGTGTGAAACCATTTCGGCAATTTCAATACTTATACTTATCAACACAGTTTGGAAAAATATGAAAAACATGATGATATCCCTGATATGCCTTCTTTATTTTATTCAACACAATGGATCATTGGAATGCCATATCATTTTTCATAATTGTATTGCCATTTCAATCATCTGTCAAAATATATGGGGGGGTTCCTACAAATACCCCAAATCATCCATGTTTTGTAGGTTTTTTCATTCCAAACCATTCCAGCTCTTGGGGGTAGCTCCATGACTATGGACCCCCCCGCTGGTCCTTGCGGTCCCACCTCTCGGACTTGACGGTTCTGGAGCGTAACATCCTGGGAGCGAGGAATCAGAGCTTGGGATAGCCGTGATCCACCGATTTTTTTCAGGTAACCCATGGCTAGCCCGTTTTCAGAGAAACCATTTGAAGGTTTAAGTGGCATGACTTTTCTCACCTGATCAATGAGTTACTTCAACATCACTCAACCATTGGGGATGTAATCTCCAGCAGATACTTGTGGGTGATGTTCCAAATCCCCAAAGAGAAACATGTACTAGCCTCTGATAAATCTGAGATGAAAATCCAAAGATATCCAAAGGCTATTTTGTCCTGCGACAACATTGAAAATTGTAAAGACACAAGCTACGGGTCTAAATGGCATCCAAGCGGCGCCAAGCTCTTCTCTGCTTGTGCCAACCTGGAAAGTTTGGATGGGCTGAAAACTATGGCGTTTTTCCTAGAAAAAATGGAGGGATTCCATGGGATTCTGCCAGGTCCGCCAGGTCCAGCAGTGCTGCAGCTTCTTTGGGCACCACACCGTTCCTCCGGCTGTACACGCCTCTTTTTCCGCCTGAGGCAGTGCCGGCATGGCAATGGCTGGCATGGCACTCTGCAGTGACCCTCAGGTAATCAAAGGTGGCAATGGAAAATCCATGAAAATCCATGAAAATCCCCTATAAATGAAGGTTTTAATGGGACAATCATCTACGTATCAACTGATAAACATGGTGGATTTCCATCGCCACGTTTGCCCGCCGTACCCCAAACTCTTCTGCATGGAGATGTGCTCCATCAAGAATCGACGTTGCACAATCCACGTTTTTTTTTGTTGTAGGTACCCTCTGGTGAACTAACATAGCAATTGAAAATGGCCATTATAGTGGATTTACCCATTAAAAATTGTGATTTTCCATTGCTATGTTAGTTCACCAGAGGGTATACCCCTTGAAAATCCACAACTTCAAGGGCGGCCATAGCAATTCCACGGAGCACCTCGCATTGATCTGGATCAAGATGAAGCAAAGCACCAGGACGATGGCCACAGCAGGATACCTGGTGACATCGACAGGGATCATGTGCCATGTTGGATGACCAGAAATGAACCATCATATGCCTCACAAAGCAAAAATCCCATGAAATTCCCATGAAAATCCCATTTTCCATTGGTGAAAATTTGGAAAAAACATAAAAAAATCACATGTTTGATGCTTAACTTCAAGTTCCTTCCACTTTTCCATGGCAAAAAAAATGGCAATCCCCCACCATCCCCCACCACGGCAGGGCACGGTGAAACGACGATGCCCTGCGCCGCGCTGCAGATCAGCTCCATGGAGGGATCCGCGAAGGCGTTGCGCTGCGAGGCCGCCACCACGAAGAAGTGATCTGCCACGACGACGCGAGCTTCCACCGGACCATGGGGTGATGGGATGAAAAAGCATGGGAAAAATCCCAAGAAACTCAAATCCAAGTATATATAAAAAATCCAAGTATATATTATATATATATAGTATATATAATATATATATATATATATTATATATATATTATATGATGGATTGATTGGAGGATTGGAGGATTGTTTTTTCGGGGGAAGAAGTTCTAGCAGCTAGGGATTCGACATGACTTGACCTTTCCAAAGTTGGACTGGTTGGGACCACCGGCCCCACATGCCGGGGAAGCGGTTGCCGCGTACGGCTCGAATCGCCACATGGACAGTTCCAGCCTGGCAGATCGTTCAAGGGAGTGGGTATTGATCATAGAGGCAACCACCAAGCACATGGGATCAACAAAAACCTACAATGATGCAACCTTTTTCCACAGCTGTAATACTGCCTGCAGAAAATCCTGAGGTCATGTGCGACATGGCAGAACTCAGCACTCAGTACAAGGGCAACTGCCACCTACAAGAGAGTTGAGGTTGACCTTGACAGCAGGGTCGGCTACAAGTATGACTGGCTCTATGTTGAACCGCTTTAAACCATTTGCCACTCCTACTGCGGAGGTACGAATCCCAAATCACTTCAGGTGAGGCAACAGGCTCTGAGTACACCTTTCTTTATCCGCAATCCACTGTCAAATCTTTGCTATATCATACCCTGCCTTCCGGGGCCCTCCACACACCCCGGGTACCCCCCAGGATGCCCTCGGGAAGCGACCCCACCTGAAAGCTGGAGGTGCCACTCTGACGCGCCTCCTCGAAGTATTGTTTCCCCACCTCCGCAGCCTCGGGAAGATGGATTCAATGTCAGACTTGGGAATCATCGGCTTGTATCATGTGCAAATATACTGTGTACATAGATTTATCAGTCTATACCTCTGAGTACCAAAAAAATATGTGTGATACATCTTGAAAAACAGATCAAAATAAGGGCACGTCCACAGCCCAGTCCCAAGATCCCAGGCCCAGCCAGACAGCTCCCACATGCTACGAAAGTGCGCCACACCGGTGGGGCTCTCGATGAGTGCCTGGGAGAAAATCTCAGAGGACCAGGGCTATCAATAGATGGGGCTGCAGTTGGGGTTATTAATATGTATAACTATGATACATCAGGAGGAAGAAAGTTTTTTCCCGTTTAGTACCTTATTAATATCATCATCCTCAGCCGCGGATCAATTATCCTCATTTCGCGTGGCCTGCGTGGCGGATCGTATTTCAAGTCGGAATAAATTAAAATTCTTTTAAAGCAAACCAGCTGATCCGCGATCCGCCATGTCATCCATATGCAACCTGTCAGGAGTCTAAGGGGAGAGGGTTGGAGTAGCTAGTCAAGAGGAAAAACTTTTGTCCTGGTTTTGCGTTATTTTACACCTTCAGCATTGCCTAGAAGAGAAGACCCAAAATTTCACGCGCGTGCGTCAATCTTAAACGCCACCACTGGAAGTACTGTGTGAAGCGAAAATGTTCATCAAAAAAACAAAATCGTTTAGTGGAAAATGCTCATCAGGAGGAAGAAAGTTTTTTCCCGTTTAGTACCTTATTAATATCATCATCCTCAGCCGCGGATCAATTATCCTCATTTCGCGTGGCCTGCGTGGCGGATCGTATTTCAAGTCGGAATAAATTAAAATTCTTTTAAAGCAAGCCAGCTGATCCGCGATCCGCCATGTCATCCATATGCAACCTGTCAGGAGTCTAAGGGGAGAGGGTTGGAGTAGCTAGTCAAGAGGAAAAACTTTTGTCCTGGTTTTGTAATAACCACCATCAGAAACATATTGCAGCACATTCCCGCATATTACCGGAAGCGGAAAAACGCTTCCCCTGAGGAGAGAGAGAAAGAGAGAGAGAGAGAGTTACCGATATAATATAACATAACATAACATAATATTATATTATATTATAATCTTATATTGTATAATATACATATGTATATTATATATAGATGTGTGTGTTTATTACATTATTCTTATTACATTATTCTTATTACTAATATCAATATTATTAATTTATGTTTATATGTATTTGAATATGGTGTATTTACACACGTATACATTGGTCCCATGTTCCAGACGTACACAAAGCATTTCGACGTTTCGACCGGCCAAGCCTTCTGTCCGGGCATCAGGGTGGAGATCAAAGTCCCGGAAGCATCGCATACGTAGATCTTGGCAGTGGGAATGGGTGGGCTGAGGGATAGCTAGATTATTGTCCTTAAACGCCATGGGAAATATTGGAAAATCATGACATATCATGACACATGTGAAAAAATCCTGGGAGCAGTTGGGTTACCAGTACCACGAAAAACCAGTTATAGATGTTGTAGGTATCACCTTTTTCACAAGATCCCCATGAAACGGTGAAACGCTGGACGACACGCTGATCCCTGGGTCCCTTGGGCATCGGACTGCGCCCAGGTCGCCTGGATCATCGAACAGCGGGGGGAGGTTTTCCAGCAAACTATGCTTGATTGGCAGAGGGTAAGTGTTGACGTGGCAGTGTGTCAAAACCTTGTACCCCTGGTGAACATCAAAATAGCTGGTAAATGGATGTTCATCCCCCTAAAAATGGTATTAATAGGTATTGACCCATGCCCATGTATTTACTATATCATCCCACTGTCAAAGGTCTTACTATTCTAAACTAAGAGTGTTTATGACATTTTATGACTGAAAGACCAGTCATAAACTATGGGACGCCGAAACACTCATAAGCGGTTCGCCACCTGAATGAACTGAGGGATATCGCGTATGGCTCATACCTCCATCTTGGGGGGTGTGAAATAACTCTGTACGTTAACGTGGCAAGCCCAAGGCCCAAGAAAAAACCATTCCCAATACTACCAATTATTACCATAAATAAATAAATGGAGCATTTTTTAACCATCCAAAATTGGAGGTTTATTGTTGGGTTTACCACATTGTTGGCATGGCAAGCCTATCCAAAACTACCTGATTTACTACCTGATTTACCTCACTGCTTCGATGCTTCCGGATAGGTACTGATGGGTTATCCGACTTTGGGAATTGGAATGTTCTGATTCCATTGTTCCGATTGCCAGTTTCTTGTTCCGGATGGGATCCCTTAATCGCCAAGAGACCCTGTTTGAGTGGTGACTCTGTTTATCTGTAGGTGCTGTGGGTTTCAAATGTAAGTTGTAAAGTGTGGATATATCATATATCCTTCATTATGTGGGTTCATTAAAGGGGGATTGCAAGGATGGGATGAGTGGAGGTTCCCAAAGATTCTGGCAACCATCCCCAATCTAGAATCTATATTTATATAGTAATATTAAACTGAATATTGCTAATCACCCAACATTCCCCCGCAGATAGTCATCAACTATACGATTCATCCACCGTTCGTTCGAATATACCCTCTGGTAAACTAACATAACTATGGAAAATCACCACTTTTAATGGGAAAATCCACGAATTAAATCACCATTTTCAATAGCAAACTGTTAGACATAACCAGTTGGGGTAATGACATTTGACCGTGGTAAATCAAATGTCGACTACACCATCCCAGCAACCAGTTTCTGGCATCACATGTCCCGTGAAATATCAACTGTTCCATCATCGATAGTCAACTAAATAAGAATTACCACCCCAGTCACTATCACTAAATATAATATATATATATCATATGGTTCTAAGGTCAAAACATGGTGTATGGGTCATGGTCATTTCACTATTGTTAGCTACCCTTATGTTGTTGGCCATTGAAATTCCCACTAATTAATGGAGGTATGACTCATCCCCGATTTATCCAAGGGCCCTAAAAGTTAACCATGTTGGGATTGTGTTTGGTGCATTTTCGGTACATAAAAGAGTAGGAGCCTCCCTACTAAAGTGGTCCAATCGAATTTTGACCGTGCCTCATAGTAAATTCATCCTACAATGCCCCAGTTCGTTAGCTAAGTTGGTTTATAATTCCAATGATTAGGGTTTGTGGTGGAGGAAATGGGGGTTAGACAGCAACTTATGACTATATGTATCACTATAAATTATTCATCTATCTAGGGTTGATATGGCTTATAAATTGTTATAAACCAACAGACACACCTGGAAGCCACCACCTTGTTATGTTAGTCACGACCCCGTTCCCTCCCCCGCCCCACGCCGCGAGGCGCGCGATGCTGCGCGCAGCTACGCGCCTAGCGTCTCTTTGTCGTCCAGCCGGTCCTCTGAAGCCACTTCGGTGACCTGGTGGCTATGAATATAACGGCTAATGGATTATGTGTATATATATATATATACTGGTTGGTGGTTTCAAACATGAACTTTATTTTCCATAATATATGGGATAATCATGGAAAATCCCTTATAAATAGCCATGGAAAAGCCAAGGTTATTTAACATAGCCATGGAAAATCCCTTATAAATGGAGGTTTCTAGCTGGAACAATCACACACGTGTCACCAACTGCTGCCCCCGCCCAACCACCCAGGGCAGCAGAGCAAGATTACTTTTTCTCTCCCGGTGCTGCGAGTTCGACAGCGATCGTTCGTGCTGCTGTCCTTGGTGCAAACGGGGCGACGATATACCCACACGTAAGAACGGGGGGCCCCCATGGCACCCTCAATCGATAAACAAGGGTACCACCGGTGAAAACCCCAACAGTTTGGAATGAAAACATGGTGGTCTCCATCACTACCTAACCTCCATTGAGGTGATGAAAACCAACACAGTTTTCCCCCATCCCAACCCCTACTGGCGGGACAGCAAACGTGGGATCAACCGTGGACATGTGGGGGGCCCCTACCATTAACAACAAGGGTGTCCTACCCGTCAATGTAACTTAAATCATCACATGAACTCCCCTTGGAGAAATCTTACTAATTCGTCAATGTATCATTTAACCTATCCAACTACCCTGTTCTTAATCACCAAGGCGCTTCTCGTCCCTGATGAGGGTTCCCGGGGTTGAGGTGGGTGGGAGGGAACCCGGAACTAAGCTCTCCATTGAGAGGGGGGGGCAAACTAAGCCAAAACTTGAACCAACATGGCAACCCCATAATGAATGAAGGGTTGCGTTTCCCAAGTCCACCCACATCGCAGCGTTGCCCCGTGGGATTGTTAATTCATGCAGGAAGCATTACTCAACAATCACACACGTGTCACCAACTGCTGCCCCCGCCCAACCACCCAGGGCAGCAGAGCAAGATTACTTTTTCTCTCCCGGTGCTGCGAGTTCGACAGCGATCGTTCGTGCTGCTGTCCTTGGTGCAAACGGGGCGACGATATACCCACACGTAAGAACGGGGGGCCCCCATGGCACCCTCAATCGATAAACAAGGGTACCACCGGTGAAAACCCCAACAGTTTGGAATGAAAACATGGTGGTCTCCATCACTACCTAACCTCCATTGAGGTGATGAAAACCAACACAGTTTTCCCCCATCCCAACCCCTACTGGCGGGACAGCAAACGTGGGATCAACCGTGGACATGTGGGGGGCCCCTACCATTAACAACAAGGGTGTCCTACCCGTCAATGTAACTTAAATCATCACATGAACTCCCCTTGGAGAAATCTTACTAATTCGTCAATGTATCATTTAACCTATCCAACTACCCTGTTCTTAATCACCAAGGCGCTTCTCGTCCCTTTTTTGGCATCCTTGCCGCGGCTTGGAGGTCAGTCACGCTGCTCTGAAGCACCTGTGGCATAGTTCGCTTCCGGCGGCAACGAACGCTCCGGCCGTGCCTGTTCCCGACCATTTCCAGCCACACCGGGTTGTCCAGGTGTTCGGCGGCCCCTGCATCTGCGTCGGTCGGTGGAGGATCCCAGTCAGCCCATGCCTGACAGTCAGCAACTGCCCTGAGCGGGCTTTGTCCGCGTCCGTGTCCAGCTCGGGCCGTGCTTCCTCCATCCTGATCACCGGCCTGAAGTTCGTGCTCATCAGGTTTCCGGTGTGTCCTGCCTCGATGGAGGCGGCCATCGCCGCCGAGGCCTCCGCGGCCCGGACCAGCGGCGTATCCCGCAGGTACACCAGCATGGCACTGGTGCTGCTCCATCGACCCAGGGCCCGCACGGTTTCCTCACTCACTCCCGAGTGGAACGCCCACAATGCCCCGGTCACCCTGAAGCTGTGCGTTCCGAACCGCGGGGAGCCCTGGGTCTCCAGAGGTTCTCCTGCCGCAGCGGCCACCCCTTCCACCGCTGCCTGGATCCTGGCCTCCGTGATCCGGTGCCCCATCTCCAACTGGCGCTCGCTGGGTCAGACGCAGTCCCGCGCCACTGTCGCCCCTTGGCCCTGCTGGTCCGTCTTGGAGCTGGCCACTTCCAGCGCCAGCTGCCAATGCTGGCGCGGTCCCCATCGGACCTTCACGTCGGCCACGTTCAGGGCCTTCAGTTCTGAGATCCGCAGGAGGAACCAGATCCCAGTCATCAGGGGTCGGAAGTCCCATTGCCCTAGATGTGGGATCGGAATGGGGGCCTTCCCCTTTGCAGGGCCTCGACCTCTCTTCGCTATGCGGGTCGCATCCTTGGCTGCTAGTTCCAGCTGATTGCTCAGCGGGAAGAGCTTCTTGTGTCTGATTAAGGCCGTGCTCAAATAGAGCTCGGCACTGCAATACCCCCTTGCCCGGAGCAGCGCCACACCTGCTCCTGCTCGCTCCGGAGTCAGGAAGCTCGGGTCATCGAGCGGCTTGATCGCTTCTTGGGCCTCTAGTTCAGCCATGGCCCTATCCCATGTTTTCAGTCTGGCCATCCGCGACCGGAGAGTTGACTTGGCCACTCCTGTCTTGAGCAGACGGTTGTACTCTTCCATAGGGAAGGTCTTCCATCGGGCACCTTTGTTCCAGTTGCCCCAGTGCCTTTTCCGGTCTCGGTCTCTGGCGGCTTTGGCGGGCGTCTTGTGCGATCCGCCCTTCTTCCCTTTCTTGCCACCGCCCTTTCCTTTTCCCCCGCCTCGGTCAGGGGGTTCATCTGGCCATTCCCATTCATCATGGTCCGGGGGTGGGTCTTCGTAGCCCTGGCAGTACCGGTTGTGCTGCTTCCCCTTGCTGTGTGAGCACTGGTCACAGCACGTCGGCAGCAGGCTACGCTTGCGCCGGTCGCATCCCGGCGTGCGGCACTGGTTGGGCCACTTCGCTTCCTCCTCTTCCTCTCTCTCCCGCCTTTCCCTGGGTGGGCGCGGCTCGGGACGTCGCGTCTCTTCCGCCGTCCTGTCCTTGCGGTTCGATCCCGGTCGGACGGCTGTGTCCTCTTCGGCGGACTCTTCTTCTTCCTCTTCGTCCGCATAATCCTCTGAGAGGGAGACGGATCGCCTTCCTGCGGGTCTGGCCGGAGGGCTCGGCCGCCTTTCTTCGGGCTCGGCCCTCCGCCTCCGTTCTCCTGAGTCTCTCCGCTCCCCCCTGGGGGATTCCGCCCTCCTCCTGTTCCGGCTTTCTTCTTCCTCCCGGCGAGGTGGCGGTGGTCGGCTGGGTGCCCTCCTGTCGGGCGTCGTTCTCGACCGTCGCTCCCTGCTTTCTTCCCGCGGTGGCGTCCTGGACCGCGGCGGGGCCGCCCCGCCGTCTCGGTCCGGTCTCCTTGTGTGGGCTCTTGAGGCCGGTTGCGCCTTCCGCGGGATCGCCGGCGGCAATCTTCCGGCCCCGTGGAACTGCGTGCCGCGTGCTCTTGCGCGGTCCGCGCAGCACTTGCACATAACCTGCCCCGAGGGATCGTGCACCACCGTGCATGCCGGACACGCTATGTGTCCGCAGACCCTGCCGTCCAATCCCAGGATGCTACCCGAGGCCCAGGGTGCCAGGCACAGGCCCAACATGATTGTTCCATCCTGATCAACCGGCTTTGTCTTGAATGTGGCCTGGTTGATCGGGTGTTCATGCTGCAGGGCTCGTATGCCGTTCTTCACGCATCCACAGCATGCGGGTGCCATGTTGAGTGGCACACTTTCCGGCTCACGCGGCTTCTGTCCTGCCGGACCGTCTTTGCCAGGTTGGTCCGGCGGCGAACCATCCTGCCCTCCTCCCGTACCTGCCGGTGGTGTTTCCTTGCGCGAATCTTCTGCGGGCTCTCTCTTACACGCCCCTGTATCTTCTCCAGACTCGCCATGTCGGTGCACGTATTTTTGCCATCCCTGTAGGCTACTTAGCGTGCTTATATTCCATACCCCGGCGGGGGCGGCCACGTCCTCGTTTTCATCCATCTCTCCGGGCCCATGGGCGTGTTTGTCGGCCCGGCCGGTGTCCCTTGCAGGGAGATGGGTCCTGCCGCAGCTGCCCTCTGTCGGCAATTTGTTTCGGCACTTCGTGCCCTCCTGTCTAGAGGGGGCGGCTTGCTCTGCCCCCCCCTGACGGTGTCGCGAGCCGCCCGGTCGGGGAAGTCGGCTCTTGGCAGCGATGGCGGCGGCGGCCGCAGTGAGTCCGACGGCCTTCCAGGTAACCGCGCGCCGCAGCAGCATAGGTAGACCAGGGTGATGAAACACCCGGACACGGCGGTGTCCAGCAGCAGAACGGCCCACAGGTCAGCGGGCACGTCGCCTGCTGCGGTCAGCAGAGTGACACCTAACATTGGAGCCAAACGGCTGCGGACATGCGATGCAGGTTGGTGGTGTGCTTGGGAGAGGGGGGGGGGAACGCACAAAACCCAAAACGTGGTGGGAACCACAAGAGAAACACCCATTAAAAGGGGGGGGGGACTATACCCGCGCGGGCCCAAACAGACCCCCTCCAGCCCTTGCTGAAGTGCCAGTCGAGTTTCGCTCACCGAGGGTCCAGCTTGAAGATGGAGACGGTGGGGACAGGCTCCCGCGGCAGCGGGCGTAGTCGGAGCGGGATTTCTTTTCCCTCCGTCAGCCTGGACAATGCATCGGCTTCAATATTAATTTCGTTTCGCCAATGCTGCCCGCTGACGGTCTCGGCGCCGGTTTCTTCCAGCAGAAGTGCAATCTCTGCGGCCAGGCGGTTTGCTTTCGGGTGCGGGGATGCCATTTTGACCGCGATCCGGATGGCTGCTTCGTTGTCCAATTGTACCAGGATGCCTATCCTGCACCTCCTTAGATATCGTTTCCATACGTGCATTGAGATCAGCAGGGCTAACAATTCGTACACCGTCATCAGCCCGGGTTCTCCCGCAACGATGCCCAAAGCTTCTACGGCCCATTGCGGGATGGGGCTGGCCAGCCAGGCCACGGGCCTGTTGTATGCGTCCAACAGGATTCCACCGAGGCCGGTGGTTGACGCGTCTGTGCGGATGACCCATTGCGGCCGTGTCCAGCGGTCAGCGAGTAGCCTGGTGCGCTGTAGCCCGCCATGGTGTCCCAAGAGGAACTGTTTCATCCACGTTAGTGGGAGCCGAATTGTCTTGGCGAACACCGACCCATCCGGTCGCAAACGCGCCTTCGATTTGTGGGTCTTGACTGCCTCCTGCTGTTTGTCCATTCCGTAGACAGCGGCCCACAGCATGTTGACAAAGGGCCCGATTGTCGGGATGATTCCCGCCACCCAGCTCAATTCACCTGCCAAGTTCCTGACTCCTTTGACCAGGCCGTCACTCTGTAGGGCCTCGGATACGGTCACAAGAAGCTTCTGGATGCGTTCCTCGTCAATGGACACTTGGACGCCACCCGTGATGATGCTGAACGTGGCCCCTATCCACTTAATGCGGCGGCCTATTCCTGCCTTGTGGATGGCCAGTTTTGCCCCAAATGCATACCAGAGGGCGAGCGTCCGGAGGATCAACCAGGCCCTTGTATACCGGTCTCCTTTAACCACTGCTATGGGATCATCGACATACAGTTGGAGACGGAACGATCTGGGGTCGTGTATTGCCTGCGTGGCGCGGGCTATCCACGCGGCTGCTCGGCCCCATAAGAGTGGTGCCGAGGCCAATCCAAACGGCACCCCCCCGGTAGGATGCGTACGTTCCATCTGAAAGTTTGATGATGGTGTAGCCACGTTCGGGCTCCATCACTGGCAGGTTTAGGAATGCGTCACTGACGTCAGCGGTGAACAGCTCTAGTGATCCGGGCCCAAGTTCTTGTAGGTCTAAGATGTCCCTCACTAGATCGCAGCCCCTGGGTAGAACGATGCGTTCCCCGGCCTGCGATAGCCCGTTCACTCCAGAACGAAGCATATCCGCAATAAAACGAGTTTTGACGCTTCCGTCCGGGCGAGCTTTCACCAGCGTGGCCAGTTTCGTGGCTCTAGCGTCAGGCCACCTGTCCTTGACGTCGGCCCAGCTGCCGATCCTTTCTATGTGGCCCTCGGTCAGCAACCTGTCCAGCTCCTCCGCGGATTCATGGATGTGCTGGTGGAAGGAGGCGTAATTTCGGTCCACCTCCGCGTGACTTCCCAACTGCGCGAGGTACTCGGCACTCTCCATTTGTGCTTTTGTTGGCGGTGCCAGCGGATAGATGCCCCTGCTTGTGATGGGCTCGTTGATGCCAAGCGGGGTTCCTTTCCCGAACCATTCCGGGACGTCTGGGTCCGGGTCCGCGGCTGCCTCACCCACGGCCTTCATAAGGCGCCACCGCCATTTGGTCGCACCGACTTCCATCCAGTCTGTGGTGTTGGTTATCTGTGCGATTTCGGCGGCGCTTTTTGCGCCCAGCCTTTCGAGCAAGGCTTGCGCTTTCGCTACCTGCTCCTTGCTCATGCCCTGCGCCATCTCCTGCGCTAACTCCAGGACCCTCGGATCTTCAGATATGGTCCGGTCGATGGCCTGGGCGGCCCTCTCCCCCCAGGTCTGCCAGCGGGGAAGCTTTGCCACTGCTTTGCGCGGGTTCCTCATTCCTCCGATACAGGCCTCGTCTTCTTGGTCCTTTCTTTCTTTGGCGCTAAGCTCACCAATGGCCTGGCCCTCGTCTCTGTGACGGTGGTCAAGCTCGTCTCTGCCCAACTTATTCAAGTAGCGCCCTGTTCTGAAATATCCTTCTTCCTGCTCGGAGAGCGGTGGCTTCGAATTACCGGCCGCAGCCTCTTGCTGGCCGCGCCGCGGTTGATGCCCGACCGGGGGTTCGTGGCTCTCGGTGATCGGAGGAGCTGCGCCACTCGGCTCCTCCGCACCCGGGGGCGTGTGTCAAGAGGCTTGGGCACTCTTCCCGCAGGACTTTGCAGGATGAGCACCCAGACACACCTGGCAGATGTGGAGCATGTCTTTGGGGCATTTTGATTGGCATTCGCCGTTGTTGTATCCAAAGCAAATCGGGCGGCCCTGGCGATCTGTCATGTACCTGCCCTTTCCATCCCTTTTGATGCCCCTGCCCTTCTCGCCTCCCTTTCCCCCTTTCCAGCCTTGCTGCTGGCCAGTCCTCTCTGATCTTTCTTCCTGGTTCCTGAATTTCGCTAATTGTCTCTTCAAGCGTTCTTTCTGGGACGGGCGAGGTTTCTTTAACTGGGCGTCCTTGGTCCTGTCAGTGAGCGAACCGGTACCGCCTACCTGCTCCTTATGTTTCCCCCCTGTGCGGAAGAGCAGTGCCGGTTCTCTCACGTGACGGTCCCAGTATTCCCGGTCCCGCGCAGCTACTCTGAACACCTCATTCCAGGGCCTGTGAGGGTCGTAGCTCGGGGCCAATCCTTTCTGGTACTGCTCTTCCAGTTTCCTCCTGAGGCGAGCAAAATGTTCGCCTCGGCACCTATCTTCGGCCGTGACGCACAAATGCCAGGATTCACCATAGTTCCGTACCAGGTCACGAAAAGCGTCCTTGTATTCGTCTAAGGCAGACAAGGATGCGACCGGGAGTGCGTCCGGGCCGGTACCGACCTCGAGCGTTAGGAGAGTGTTTGCGAACACCTGCCAGGACGATTCCCAGTCGTCGTACGACGGCGGTCCTGGTACTTCCACTGCTCTGAAGGTTCCGTCGGGTTGCAACAAGTGGTTCAGGAACTTCAAAGTCTTCGAGAATCTCCTTTGATGGGAAACGAAGAGTCCGAACGAAGTCCGCATACGGCGCCATGTCCAGCTGCAAGACTCGGACCTTCATGGCGGAGATCTGGTCAGGGGACGGTTCTGCCTCAGGGCGCACTGGCCCGCCCTTGATGCGCTCGAGGGCTTTGAAGTGCAGATTTATGTCCGCCTGTCCCAACTCGGGGATCTCCGCCTCGTCCGTCTGATCTAAGATCTGGTTGTTCTTGACCTTCCTGGTGGCCCCTCCCACCGGTGGTTGGGGGTGGACACCCGGGAGGTTCGGTGGTGCTCCTCCTCCTGCCGGTGCCGGGGGCAGCGGCGGGGTAAGAGGGTCAGATGCCGGTCGCCCAAGTTTGAGCTGCGCCAGTTGAAACATGAGTCCCACCTGGGTGCATTCCACTGCCGTCAAAGCTCGGGTGGTGGCGGCGACGTAGTCAGGTTCGCCTGCGACGCCAACGGCAGGGACAGGCACCCGCGCAGCGGCAACGGCCTCTCGAATGGCAGCCGAGGGCATAAATGCCAGCACGCGAAGGTGCGGAGCGGTCCCCAGCATGGTATTCACGGCTTCCCATGCGGCGTCCAGTAGCGAGACCCAATTACGCAGGTCATCTACGGACTCCAGATTATCCAATTCGTCGGTCGGGATCAGGTGAGCCATGCCAGGGAACCCGGAACTAAGCTCTCCATTGAGAGGGGGGGGCAAACTAAGCCAAAACTTGAGCCAAAACTTGAGCCATTTTCCATGGCTATGTTAAATAACCAGAGGGTATATATACTGGTTGGTGGTTTTAACCATCTTGAAAACTATGAAAGTCAATGGGAAGGATGACATCCCATATATTATGGAAAATAAGAAATGTTTGAAACCACCAACCCGTATATATATATGATTATGTATCAAAGAACACCCTAAAATATGGACAGGTTCAACTCATCACTATGTTAGGTTCGGATTTCATTTTCCTGTCTTGGGGGTTGCCATACAAATGGATAAATGGTATGAACTTGTAAATTTCAAACAAAATCGATAGATTGATCAATCGATCGATCTATCTGTCTGTCCATCCTTCTATCTAGTTGGTGATGAATTATGATTATGATGAATTATGATGAATTATGATGAACTATGATGAACTATGATGAATTATGATGAATTATGATGCTGATGAATTATGTACCCATCAAAATGAGATATGACATGATTGAACTGGTGAGCTATACCCGCCATCAATCCTGACCTCCACAACAGCTCGCGCAATCACCGAAAGGTTGCCACGGCTGCCGGGGAAAACGGACCTGGCTGCGGGATGCGCTATGATCTCAGGGACCCATAGGGGATGTGGGTGTGTGGGCGTGTGCTGGAAACCACACGACAATTTGTCAAAAATGGGTCCAAAAATGTCAAAAACTCTCGAAAATGGCCCAAAAAATCCAACCACGTTCAAGTACTCTAGGAAGTTATCCCAAAATATCCAAAACAATGGATGGTTGATGGGTTGATATCAATTGACGCATGGCTGACATCGCCAAACTCCACAAATCATCACATATAGAATATTTTTCTTGACAAACAAGGTCACCGCTTCTGAATCAAATCAAACATACCTGGAAGCAAATACTTGCCAATCAATCTTATATTCCTCGCATCTTTTGAAAATTGGTGAGGCGGCAAATATTTCCACAAAACCACAAACAATCCAGAAGAATTCACTCGTTCATGGTAGAATATTACTATATATGGGGGGAAAAAAACCACCCAATAAATGAGATAGAAGAGTACCCTCTGGTAAACTAACATAACTATGGAAAATCACCATTTTTAATGGGAAAATCCCCTATTTCTATGGTCATTTTCAATAGCTATTTTGACATAACCAGAGGGTAATCTGCATCAGTTTGCCATTCTTTTAGCAACTTTGCTGGCAACTTATTGCTGTTAGTGCCTGTCCGGATCTTGGCGCACCGAAAAATCAGGGAATGGGCTGGCGACCACGCCACCGCGCGAGCCGATTGCACCAGGGCTCCTTCCACGTGAGGGACCTGGGTGATGGCAGGTGGCCAAGGGCAATTTCAGTAGATATCAACCATTATCAACCAGCAAAGATATCAAAAGATGTGGTTTGAGCATGCTTTTCATATCTTTTCATATGCAAATAAACCTCAAATCATGGGCCTCTTGGAGTTTGAGCTGCGCACTTCAGGATTCGAGCCACTACAAATGAGGTTTGAGGAACAAAACCAGCCATCCAACAATAGATAGGTGCCCAGATGGGGTTATTCTGAGCCGGAAAAGCTACAACCTGATACAACAATGATAAGCAGCAATTTAAACAACTGGGAGACGATCAAATAGCCAGCTCTTGGATGATCCAATTGGTGGGTGGTGGTAACCATCATGGCACCGCTGAGTCTGAAGACGAAGCCAGGCCCCTCGTTCCACTGGAAACTCATGGGTGGACCAGTGCTATTGTCCTCAGCCCGGGCGCGAAGACAGGTCCATGGGCCAATGGGGTCCCAAAATCCACCGAAAATGTCACGGCCTTACCTGGAGATCAGACAGGTGGCACCACTTTTCAGCTGAGCTTCTGCTTCTTGCCCTCCCGGTAGCTTCAGTCCAATCCTCGGTGTAGATAGTTGAGCTAGTAACCCTGGAGAGGATGTGCCTTACTTAAATAAACTTAAATACATTTAAAAACCTCTATATAATTAATTCGAAAGATCAAAGCCAGTTCCTCTGTGCGATGGTCCTCCCCCTTCCCACCTGGTGGCCTCCCCTTTAGCACACCGCAAATCCTGGGAGGCCCTCGCTGAAACCAGCTCATTTCTCGGAAGGGCGCACCATCCAAACATCCGAAACGACCAAGCTGCACACGAGGTGGCGTGGTCGTAAGAGAGGCAAGGTTTAAAGGCAACCAGATGCTCAAATTGAGTAGTTTGATGGAAACAAAATTGTGGGAACCCCGTGAAACAGCAAGGAACCCATCTACAACTTGAAAATCAGGAGTGCTCACTCAATCCCACACTCTAAGAATGCCTAAGACAATCAACAATTGTTGCACAGTCGCTCCAGGATTATACTGGATACTTCTGAATCTAGTAAAAAACATATACCATCAGTATTCCACAAACCATCTTCGAGCATCTCCGAGCTGAAAAGCGGCAGGGCCTTCTCAAAGCAGTCCTCAGAATCAGACTGCACCAGCAGCCTGTCGATGCCTGGCATCGCAACTTGCCAGGCAAATGGAAATGGAACATATTGAGAGCCTTAATTTTAGACTGTTGCTGTTTACATATGTATATATATATATACGTGTGTATATATATATATATATGTGATCTCAAAGACCATGTCAAGAAAGCATGGGAGGAGGTGAAGATCGATTTGACAGGTGATGATGATGACGAGGTGATGCCAGATGATGATGATGTCACCATGAAGAGTCCAGAACAAGAGACTCAACCAGAAGAAGGAGATGATGATCAAGCCTCGAAGAAGGGCGACATCAATGATGAGAAAAGAGACTTCAGAGAAGAAGATGAGGTCGATAAATTTCTCAATCAAGAGGGAAAACCGACCGATGAGAATGATGATGAAGAGAAAGCGGTCGATGAAATCAACATTGAAGAGTACGAGGCTGGAGAAGCTCGTGATGCAGTGATTGAGTACCCCAAGTGGATGCAACGGATTGAGTTTGGATCAAAGGTCCTGCCGATCGAACCTTGCACAATTGGAGATGCTCAGCCAGAATTCATCAAGATCCTCCTGTTGCAGATTGGATTACATATCGTCATTATCTACAGACTATTCCAACGGAACTTGTGTGGAGACATCGAGACGGCATGGAAACATTTTCAACAGAACCAGAAATTCAGGATGGACCTGGACTCAAGGACACCTTACCTGGGAGAGGATGAAAATGGTGAACTCATTGAACCAACTGCGCAACAGATGAAAGAGCTCTACAAAGAGATCCGCCGACCAAATCAAAAGGACGACATCGGAGAAGAGGGATTCGTCAATGCATACTATGGGGCAGTGGTACTCAAAAGACTTCTCATATATACCCTTGAATGTGGCTACACGTATGATGACTTGCAAAACATATTCTTTGATGAGGAGATGGAGAAGCTGTCGAAAGGTGACACCACAATGGATGAGATGAGAAAGACCACAGCGGCCCGCGACGCCCTTGACCGACAAGACGTCATGGTCAGAAGAATCATTGCAGGTGCATATAGGGTAAATGCTGTTTATTTCTTCAGGAACGTTGACTTTCAGGACACAATCACACTGAATCCAGTTGACATTGTGTGTGCTCTTCGTCCACCACTTCGAAGAATATCACTTTTACACCTGATCCTTCAGAATGGGAGACAATTGCCGCGACCTCTACTCCAAAAGCTATATGATGCGATCGATGACTACAATCACATCAAGCAACCGGAAGATCAACGACCAAGGTGGGGCATCCACTTGTCTGAAGCTCACATACTTGCGATTGCTGATACCCCGACTCCTGCTGATCGTGAAAGTACCAATCCAGCCGCTGGCAAATCGAAAGCAGCCCCGAAAGCTGCACCAGCACTGGGAAGAGTGTCCAAAGCGAAAGCATCATCGTCAGCGACATGGAGAACAGTTGAAACCGCTCCTCAGCCAAAACAAGCTCCAGTGACCCCGCCAAAGAAGGGTGGAAAGGACCAAGGGAAAGGTGGAAGATCTTATTCACACCGTGGCGGAGACTGGAACCATCAGGGATACTATGGATGGGGAAACAGATGATTAAGCGATCTGACCTCTGCATAGGTCCCGATTGAACCTGGCGATGCGAGGATGCAATCATTGCTCGAGATTTACCTCTACTTCATTTTTGAATGATTTCTGAGAGGGCTCTGAGCCGGCTAATTTAGGACCACACATTTTTTTTGAACATCATTGCATGAAACGCTGAGTTTCTACAGCGGTCTACGTCTCAACCGACGAAGGGACGGGAAGGTAAACTTCTAGTTCCATAGTCAACTTTGTGTTTTGATTTTTTTTAATTCACATGCTTGAGTGGGATTCCATGATGGCTACGCCACATTGGATGAACCTCAACGCTAGACACCGACTACGTCGTGTCTACATGCACGTGAACAGAACCTTTATCTTTTGGTAGAGATTGTAGCAAGCCGCCATGTAGATGTGAAGTTCTGAACGGACTTTAACTCTCCATAATTAAATAAATGAACAGCTGCAGATCTAGTGGAACAATTTAAAGGACACTCCTTTCGGCCTTTGGTACTGTAGCCACGGTGATCTTGATTCGTTTCCTCCATCCATGACTCACCAAAAATCCTTTGCACATCACACAAATCGATAATGGCGCGGGGGTCTCCATCAGACATGCGGGGCATAGTCGATGGTCCTCTTTGCTAGGATGATGAGTGACTGCCAATAATGAAATTGCATCATTCCAATCCGGATGTCCAGGGAACAATCTGTGAGTATGACTGAAGTGACCGGTCCTGATATCGACAAGTTTTCGAAGTTCGTCTAGATCGGGTGATGATTCTTCAGGCACAATGTTTCCAATGAGCTTGTCAAATCGTTCAATGGTGGCCACCCTCTTCGCGCCTTGCACAGAAAGAACAAGTTGATCTCTTCCCTTCGTGATCATGAGACGGTAATAGTCCTTTTCTTTCCAGTCGTAATACCATACTGCATCGAATGATTCGAATGGTATTGTTTCTTGGACCAAAATGTGTCCGTCTGCTGACAATCGAGGGGAGAACTTGGCGATGGAATCGTACGTGATGTAGATGTAGACAAGATCAGTTTGATCAATCTTCCTGAATCTCAGCACCATTTGACTTCTCACATCCCACGGCGCGAACGGCACGAAGAACGTATTGATGCGGTCGCCTCCTCCTCCTGGACGTAGTCCTGCTCTGAAGATTTGAGCGATGTTGTCAAATGTGGTGCAATGAAATCCTCCTCCAAGAGTGTATCCTACTCCAGGGTTCATCTGATATGAAGTCTTCTTGTCTTCAATGTGCACACCGCCTTGAACTCTTGAATGCGCCATAGGGGCTCGGATTGCCACCGGCCAAAGCCAAATCTCTCGATCTGCTGTGCCGATCTCCATCCTCAGTGTTTGTCGATCAAGTCTAGAGGTCAATCCATCATTGAAGTTGTTCATGATGTGTTCCAACTCCCCTTTCGTGACCTTGAGTCCTAGCACTTGTGCTCGGATTCTCTTCGTTTGCTTGTACTCAGTGAAGATCACTCTCTGGAAATTGTTCCATCTCTCAACAAGTATCGGGTAGTTGACGTAGGCCGTTCCAGCCAAAGTATGTTGGTCTTTCCAAATGGCATCGTACTTCAAGATCGACTCAACATTGACCCAACCTGCCTCGTCGCATGGTAGTCCACGGTGATTTCGATTGTCTCTGACGCAACCCACGGAGTGGCGTAGCGCTGCATTGAATCTTTTTGACAATTCAACTATCCATGGCGGATTTTCCCACTTGTTGCCCATCCACTCATTCTCGCCATATCGATGCACTTTGCACCAGCCCATTCCAAGATATTCTTCTCCGTTGATGCGGGCAAGTTGAAGTTTACCGATGTTGTGGCCGTGTGTGAATGGTTGGATGTACTTGAAATTCCAGTTGTTTCCATGTTGTTTTCTTTCTTCAGTAAGCCATTTTACATAAGCATCATGATCCAGGGGGTTCCAAGCGTTCAGCTCTTCAATGGTCGGCAAAACAGGTGGAGATTCCTCAGCCGCACGCTCAATCAGCAAGTCAAGCTCATGACGATTCTTCACACCTCGGCTAATTGGGTTGACTTCGACACCATTCACTAAGTATTGTCCTCCTTCTTCACGATCACCAATGTCGTACATAAAGGCTGACTGACTGTAGAAGCACTTGGTCACTTCCTCTTTCTCAGTGAATCTGGTTCTTCCACAACGCTTTCCTCGTGGCATGACGTTCTTTGGGAGCTTGTCTTTTCTGCCTCTGGTTGCAGCTTTGGATCTTTCGGATGATGATGGGGATTTGGACTTCTGATCCATGATCAGCCTCATGCGCCATATGGTGTCCTTCATGTTCTCATCATCTGGTGTAGTACATTCGTCAATGCCATGTCTTCCACCACAAATGAAACAATATTGAACATCCAATGCATCTGAAATCAGCTTCTCAAAACGATCACGGATGTCACGCACCTCGGTTCGGCGCTTCTTCGCTTCTGAAGGTTGTCCCCCCATGCCATCTTCCTCCTCCTCAATCTCGATGTCACCAGCTCCGGCATCGGTTTCTCCTGAAGTTTGTTCTGCTCGAGGGCCCCGCGCCGTAGGCGTCGTGGTCTCCTCATCAGGTTCATCAACTTCATCCACCTCTTCATCGCTTGATGAGACCTCAATCATTTCAGGGTGGTCATCGTAGTTGGCTTCTGGGAGCACCGGCATTCTGGTGATCTTCTTCTGCATGAGTAGGTCAAAAATTCCTGCTTCTTTCAAGATTGTAATCACCATGTCATTCTCGACCGGCGGGATGTATGCTTTCCTGGATCGGTTTCGCTTTGTGTTGATGGTGTCGGTAGGTCGACATGAACTGCTGAATAGCCAAAACGACTCTTCCAGTCCTGCGAGGCAACTGTCAAGGTTTGCCCCCCATCCAGCGAACATAGTAGGGAATTGAATACCCAGATCAAGCATTCCAAGCCAGAATTCGAAAATGTCGCCGACATACTCAGTTGTTGCTGTTGGATTGATCATTGATTCGATCTCCTCCTTGGTCAGCACGGTCTTCATGTAGTCATGATAAGCGACGTTTCCACCATCCCAAAGCAGTCTGTAAAACCATCGCATTCGGTGCATTCCGCCTCCGCAATCCTCTGTTCGAGTTTCACGTTGTACAGTGAACTGGGGCAACAGGTCTCGTCTGCATTTCCCTTTCACCATGTATGCAGGCATTCGGATGGCACCTCGATGTGATACCTGCTTGAGCACATCGCTTGTAGTCCTGTATCCTGAAAGCATTGCAAGTGTCGCAGTGACCAGGAATCCACGGAGGTCCTTCTCGGCTTCCATCTCTCTCCAGTCAACGCACTCATTGTAGATGTTGAGCAATCTTGCAGCTACTCTTGCATCTTGTGAAAATTCATCCATCCCAATGTCATCAGTACCGTAGATCGCCGCTCTGGTCCAGTTGCTTGCGCAATTCAGGCATCTTGTG